TGGTTGCATCTGCGAAAGCATCTTCTGGTATGAAATGTTATTCGTTCTTATCACTGCTTGTTTTCGTCTGTTTCTCATCTGCTGCCCCTGTAAGCCRTTCGTGCGCAGACAACCGGTTACCGCTAAGCAGCGAGTGCTCRAACTGCCATTCCTTGTCCACGCGTTCAAGCCATGCCACATCATCAAAACATTTTCACACGCGATAAGAAAGGGAAATGCGGCAAGCCTTTGGTTTAGGGTTTATGTTATTGCATATCTTCGCACACAGTTTCTTTTSTCATTGTTGTYGTGTTTGTGATGTCCTCAGAGCAAGCACTTATCCAGAAAAATGATGAGAACCACAGAACACACCGATGAACGAACTCGTCATTATTACGCCAACGTCGAAAACAGTGTTCCCAAATTGCATCTCCCGCCCACGTGTATCCCCTCTACGGTGGCGCAGCTCGTACACCATGACACTGCGTTGATGGATGCGGGCCCTGCACACGACCACCACGTCCATCGCTTGCCCCCACCACCGAACCCACGCAATACACAACCGCTGCCAGCTCCACCTGATCACTACCGGCGATGGACGACGGTGACCGCACGTGCGCAACAACTCACGGATCTGTGCGCGCTCATCCCGGGTGGCAAGTGATTTTATATGTGATGGGCGGCAGTCGCCGAATTACAGAAGGAAAAAAAAAAAAAGATAACAAAACGAAAAAGAAGAACGCAAAATCAGCAAGGCGAAAATAAAGAAAAAAAAAAAAATCAGCCGGCCTTGTTGATCGCCGACAGTTCGTCGTGGACCGCTCAGCTAGCCCCTACCATTGTTTCGACAGACGCATGACAACCCCAATGACCCGCCCCCCCTGTGGAATTGTCAGTCCTTGCAGAGAGCCTGGGCAATCTTTCGGAGCGAGCATTCGCTGTCCCGATTCCCAGACATAGCACTGCTTCTCCTGTGCTTCCACCTCCCTTTCCATAATGTCACACTGACGCTGAAGCACCTCGCACTGCCGCTTACTGGCCCGATCGACTGATTCCGCAACCACCTTCGAGTGGGACTGCATGACGTCGGTCACCGCTTCGAATGCGTTTTGCCGAGCACTCTTCCTCTTCAGGATTTTTGGGCCTCCGGGCGGCCTAACCCCGTTCGTGTCCCCGACGCCCCCCTCACAGTTATCACTCGCAGATGTCTCCCCCCCGAGGACACCATCGCCCCCCGCCCCTCCACCCTGTTGCTGCTGTGATGCCCCTGTGTCCACCAAATTCGGAGGATGAGCGGTCTGGCTGCGATGCTGCATAGCGTGGACAGAGTCGTACAACCTGCGGTCCATCTGGAACTTGTACCCCTTCTCGGCCCGTTCCTTGGGAGTCATTGTGAAAAAAGACTGCATACCGGACTCCTTTTCCCTATCCCAAACCTTCCTGTACCATCCAATCACATTCTCCCAACGCTTCATACAGGCATCCCACTCTTTGTGCACCCCGTAAGCAGTCGTCCGTTTCGAGATGTCCGTCCATTTCCACTCTCTCGTTTTAATCCGCGCGAAGGTAGACCCGGCAGCCGCCATAGCCTCATCCTGATCTCTCTTGCATCGGACGAGAACAAGAGACTCGTCCAGGCTCCAGTACGTGCGCCCCCCGCCTGAGGCCACCCCCGCATCCCCGCCTGACGCCTTCGCTTTCCCCCTTCCCTTGCCCCTGCCAGCTCCACCGTCGATTCGTCCTTCTGCGGGCGGCGGCGGCTGAACATTCGCGTCGTCCTCACGACCACCCGCCATGTCGTCGTCGTCAAGCCCATCTCCCTCGCCGTACATCTCGCCGTTGTCGGTGCGATCCCCGTCGCTACTTGCGCGCATGGTGGAAACACGAGCGATGATCCTCTCCACACAACCCGAAACGGGCGATTCGGCCACATCTGCTGTCGCGTGGTGCCCACCACCCCCTGCCGACGGGCGTCCTCTACCGGCCGACAATGCAGTGCGGTCGCCATAACCGACTCCTTGAGCGGGCGGCGCACCTCCAACGCCGGGACTACGCAGCGCCCGCTCACCTCCAACGCCGGGACTACGCAGGTGGTTGCTGCGGCCGCCAAACACACCCACTGAAGGCTCCCCTTCCGATTGCCCCTGCTGATTGACTAGGAGAGTTCGTGTGACCGACCTCCCCCCCCCGGATGACAAATGCAGATCCAATGCAGGGCCCGCCACATCTCCGTCTTTGGAAAACAGCAGGGACGTCATCGATCCATCACCGCCACAACCATGCATGGGTGTTGCCAAACCCTCGGACATGGACTGCGTCGATCCATACGCGAGAGGAAATGCGGGCGTGGGGGGCTCCCAAGTTTCGTCGTCCGGCAACGGCTGCTGATGCGGTGGGAGATGGGCGTACAACGCAGGGTCGAACCGCGGGGGGGTGACGTGGGGAGCACCCTCCGTCAACCGTGACCCTATGCCATACGTGAACCTCTCAGAACCTTCCCCACCTGCCATCCTGCGTGTTGCTTTCTTCTTCGATTTCCGGCTGCGACTCTCCGGAAGTCGCCGCAATGAACAGAAGATACGGAGGACAGGATGGCAACGAGCACTAGCAGCAGGGCACACAACAGGGCGACCTTTCGGAGGTGGTCTGCCATGCGACCTCTCACAACGCATACCAACCGCACGCAGAATGATCCGCAACCATGCGTGCAGAAGGCCGTGTGATATTTAACATCGCAAGCGCACGGTGCGTGCATGCAGTCGCGGGGCAGGATCATACGTTCGAATTCAAAATTGTCGTACGCCTGCAGCCCCACCGGCTGGAGGCAACGGCTACCCCGCCCAATGGCCGCTTGGAACGGCACGTCGCCGCCGCCCCTTGCCCTCGGGTACCAAACGGAACTACCCGATCGGCACCCTTGGACGGGCCACAAGCCGTTGCGATGGCACCTGAAACGGATGGACCAGCGTATGGACCTGGATCTCGAGTTTGCAATATTACAAAAAAGAAATACAACACCGTTATTGCCGCCAACATCCTCTGGCCCTTAAACTCAAGGCACCTCGGGGAGGTACCTTGAGGTCAAGTACGATTTTGCCCCGGCCGCCCTCAGGTTTCAAGTGCGCACCCTAGAGAGTCCGAAAGTGAAAACAAGTCGGCACCATCATTAGGTAGGGGTGGAACGAAGAATTTCCATTCAACCCTTGAGTTCAAGTGTGGTGGAACGAGACCCTAACCCCCACGGCCCCCTCCACTTTTTTTTTTTTTTTTTTTTTGACGGAGGCCGGGCCGGACGTGCAGGCACCCCGATCTCTGGAGCGCGGCTCGGCCTGGCTGTGGCACATAAACTCGGCCGCAGCCCAGGCCGTGGGGTTGCAGCCGGCCTCCTCGGCCGGGGACGAGGCCGAGGGTGCCATGTAGCAGTTGGGTATGAGACGGTATAATATATATAGTATTATAGACATCCTCCTGATGAGTCGGCGAAACTCCAACGAAACAGTTTGTCACTGCCCCTCGTTTGTTGTCCTCTTCTTCCTCTCTGTCTACGGTTTCCGGTGCAGCTCTGCTCGATTATATATATATATTTTTCCTCTTTGCCTTTTGGCTGTGTGCAAGTGGGTCGATATGACACACGGGGGTGGGGGCAGCCGCCGCTCAACCTACATCCACGTGGGCGGCCTTGTACGCAAGAGGTTCTGAACAGGGGGACTTGTAAGGAAGAAGATTAAAAATGAATTAAGTTTTTCTTGTTTTCCTTGTTTTCTTTCTGTTTTTTTTTTTTTTTTTTTTTTTTTTATAATGCTAACTACACTATGTTCTTCTCTCAAATTCTTTTTTCGCCTTTCACTACCTTCCTACCACTACTCCTAAGACTATATAGAGACAGAAAAAAAAGAAAAGAAAAAAAAGAAAAGGACTATATAGAGGGGACCCCTGCAAGCATAGGGCCTCGCAAACGAGGTAATTCATGTTGCCCCCCGCCTCGACAGCGGTAGTCAGAGATGGGTTGGGGCCGCCGGTGGGGGTCCGCTCTGATATCATGTGATAATATATATTAAAAAAAAAAAAACGCCTCGGTGGGTATTGCAGATTCTGGGGAACGAGTTCGGAAAATCCGAACCGGAAATTTTGTCGGGAGTGTTGTCTTCACCCGAATCGAACAAACGGTCATTATAGCAGTGTTAGAAGAAAAAAAAAGGCAGTGTATCGGGCCAACTTTTAAGTCGATATACAGATATAAAGACCGTGCGTTCTATTTGGGTGAAGACGGTAATTCAGGTGGGTTCGCTTCGCTAAATCTGCTTCTTCAAGTGTGGAGTTGGAGTAATCCTCCCACTTGCCCACCTAGGGCGAGGGAGGAGGGAGGAGGGAGCGGGTGGGGGGCGGAGGCGAGAGAATTCGTGGTTGGGCGTATATTATTTATAGTTTTGTAAGGGGGTCTTAGACTGAGGGAGGGCCTGAAATGTTTAGTGTCCACCAGATTGGGAGACTTGTACAAGTGGTGTGAAAAAAAAGGCCGATTCCAGAGCGCACCCAGCCCATGTGGGGGAGAAGGGAGGGGGTGGGGGAGGAGGGACGGGAGAGAATTCGTGGTTGGGGGTAAATTATAGTTTTCTAGGTGGGTGACCGTCTTAGACTGAGGGCGGGCCTGAAATGTTTTTTGTCCGCCAGATTGGGAGACTTGTACCACTGGTGGGAAGAAAGGCCAATTCCAGAGCGCACCCAGCCCATGTGGGTGAGTGGTGTATACACACTGTATAGACGTGTAGCTGTTGATACACAAGTCATGAGTTCGAATCCCCAGCTAATCAGACGAATATAGACTGAGGACAGGACTCAATGCAGGTATCCAATCTTCCGCGAGATTGGAAGACTTGCACAAGACGGGGAGAGTAAAGGATTACGGAGCGCACCCGACCGATGTCACAGTGGTATGTTTTATATCTGTATCTGGACTTAAAAGTTGGACCGATGCAGGTATCTTCCGCGATTTTTTCCTTTTTCAACGGTTCACCCTTGTCACTGTAACAGTAAAAAAAAAGAAAAAAAAAACAGTTATAATTAAGTAAGCACAGGTCATGGGTTCAAACTTCAAATCCTGTAGAGGGAAGCCAGACTGACCGCCTTCCGTAGGGGTAGTGGTTCGATCGCCATAGCTCACTGCAGGCTATGGTTAAGCGCTTGTTATCTTCTTCTTCTTCTTCTTTTTTTTTTTTTTTTTTTTTTGTTATCTTCTTCCTATTTTTCGTGAGAGTTAATAATTCAATTCCGA